AAAATAAAAACACCTTCATTTTTCTTCAAAATTAATTTTCTCGAAACTCATCGCAGAGATTGTAATAAAATTTTCAGAATCACTTTTTAATAACACAATTGATATACTGACGAAGTTTCAATGAAATCTTAACCTAAACTTTCGAGTTGTTTGAGCAAAAGATGTACATTCGAACAAATCGAAATTTTAGGTTAAGATTTTATTGAAACTTCGTCAGTATATCAATTATGTTATTAAAAAGTGATTCTGAAAATTTTATTACAATCTCTGCGATGAGTTTCGAGAAAATTAATTTTGAAGAAAAATGAAGGTGTTTTTATTTTGCATCGTTTATCCAAATGGCTTCGCTTTTTGGCAAATTAATTTATCGACAAGAATTATCGATAATCACTGTTACTTCKGTGAAAATTTGAGTGCAWTRTAATCGAMATTTGCGACGTAGTTGGAGTTTAAAAATACGCGCGAAACGCGATTTATTACGATCGAAACACCTTAAGAGAAAAATAAACATGGAATAAAATTAGACATATTCAATAAAACATAAAACATTTTTATATACAAAAAAAACTTACTTGTAGAGAAGTAGTAATACTTGTTTGGTCCTGATCCAATGGCAGTGTAGCCTCTAACTTTCAACTCATATCGGTTAGCAGGGGAAAGATCCTTGAAGGCTATAGAGGTGTTACTTGTTTTTATTTCTCCCCTATATCTGCCACTGTAATAACTGTAGAGATCTACTATATACCCGAGAAGAACACCATGGGCATCTTTTCTGGGGATTTGTTGCCATTGAAAAACTGCTGAATTTGATGTGATCTCAGTGGAAGTAAGTCCTGGCGGTCTAGACCTTGGAACTAGAGAATAGAACCAACAAAATGTAATACATATGCAATCAAACATCAATAAACACTTTTAGCGATATTTTTTACGCTGTGTTAGCCTCAAAACCATGTAATAAATTCTTTTATTCACAACAGCCCGTGTAAATGAGAGAGATCTGAGAGTATAGAAGACAATGGAAATAGTTTGAAATCTCACGAGTTTTATCTATATTTCTGAATATTTTAGCACACAATTGAGGCTAACACAGCGTAAAAGAGATCGCGAAACTAAACTATTGTGAAATACAAATCTCGGAAACTAATCAAAAATCGTCTGTAGTGATTCTCGGCGTCTAAGCACAGCAGCCGGTTCTTTAGAGTGAGAGATTGCGAAAAAGAAAGCTCGAAGATAAGAAGGGGGAAGTAAAAATTGAAAAGGAAAAAAACAACACAAAAAAAAAAAAAACACGTAGATAGAAGGACCATAAAGGGAATTATCGCCCGATGTGCTGAAGAGAATACGGAATCCAGTAAAACAGATTTGGAACCTGGCATCCAAATATTTCGAAATCCAAGAAACGCCATTTATTATCCGGAGTCCAAAAACAAATTCCAAATTCTTTGGAATCCGGAATGTCAAGGCTTGGAATCCGGAATCCAATGTTTCGGAATCCGGAATTCAGCGTTTGGAATTAAGGAATCCTCTAGTTTTCTGGATTCTCTTTCATGGGGAGGTGGGTGGGGAGGGGGGAGGGGTAGGGGGAGAATAAAGTGCTTAATTACCATACATCATTTTCAAAGGCATTCCTGTCTCGGTTACAAAAGTAGAAGACGGCCATATAATGGCTAGCAATTAATGCGTAACAATGATAAATTAAAACAGAAAAGATGCTTACCTGACTGTAGAGTTGTTAAAGACGTCTTTAAACTCTGAAACATCTTATAGTTGTCTTTCCCTCGTATTCTTAGCAGTACCAATACACGTACATTATAGTGGGTGAATCCAATCAGTTCACTACAGGTTAAAG